AAGAATTTATAACTAATTATAAAATAACTAAGCAATTTTTTTTATTAAACAATTACTTTTACAAATGAATTCAAAACAGATAGCAATGTCTTATCCAAACTAATGTCTCCCATATTGGCTATCATTGCCACTGATATGTCTAACTCTGGAACCATTGCAACAGTGCATACACTGCCGATTACAGAACCAGAATAATGAATGAACTCCTTATCCGTGGCATTAGTCTTGGGATCAGTATATTTTCCCACAAACCATCCCATCCCATAACCAGATAGTCTGGGAGTCCACAGCTCTTTAACTGTCGCCGATTTCAGATATCCTTTAGATTTAACACAAAATAAGGTTTAACACAATTTCATAACAAATGAATAAATTGACAAATAAATGCTAAAATACCATGGCCTTTATAACTCTTAATCATAATATCAGTGAAAGTTAGCAAATCGGGAACACTTGTAATAACGCCTCCCATTGGAAGCCATGGTAGCGGTTGGCCTAAGTCTTCAATAAGTGCCGCACTTTTTAGAATCCAATGTTTCTTATCAGGAGTTCGTGTCCGAGTGTATGGTCTGATCCGGTGAGGGATTATGACCTCATGTCTTGAAAGTTGAGTGGAATTCATGTGAAATTCTGCGAACAAGTCATTCATATTGACCTCAAAGTCTTGTCCGGTAACGGACTCCATGATAGCACCGATCAAATGCCAGCCCCAGTTGGAGTAATAGAATGTAGTGCCCGGTTTGGCCACCAGTGGGTCCCCACGAAAATAGGCTAAAGTGTCGGTTACGTTATGGCAGTCGAGGATACGACGGAAGTCTCGTAAATCTTCCGTTGATCTGATGCCTCCTGTCATTGACATTAACTGTCGAACTGTTATATTCACCACTTGTCCTATGTTTTAGACATACATTTAATTTATGGAGAAAATAATTTCTATAAAACAAACCTTCCCATCGTTTCACAGGAAAGTCCTGTTCACTGATATATTGATGAATCTCTGAGTCCCACACAATTTTGCCGGACTCCACAAGTTTG